TTTGAAAGAAAAAATTTACGGAGTTGGGCTGCTGTCTAATCGGAGTGGGGTCGCTAAAAAATTGGAAACGTGCGAACGCGGAGGCTCGTCCTGCTCGGAGGCAAAGGGTCAATGCATACTAAAGTATATTTTGTCGGTCTAGGCCGATGTCAGACTTTGCGAATCGCGCGATTCGCTACTAGCGATTCGCGCGATTCGCTAGCGTCCGCGGTCGCGTTGCGGTACCAGCCAATTGAGTGATTCACTGGCCGCGACGCGACCGCAGACGCTAGCGAATCGCGCGATTCGCAAAGTCTGACATCGGCCTATGCTCCGCCATAACCATTCAAAAGGCCGCTGACTCAGACATAGATTCTTAAGCTTGAAACTACTATTACTAACCACCTCTTGAAGATCTAGAAGAAGGGAGCAGTTAAAAGTGGAAACAGTAAAGGATCCATTCGGTTCATCTGAAGGAAAAATCCAAGATGTAACTTCCCCTGAAGTCCTCTTCTGATCTAATGCTTTCGTTGGCCAGATTAATAGATCTGTATCAATTTACGTTGGGAAAACACTCCATTTATCTCAAATGTCTTTTGCCGAAAAATGATACGGATCACTTCGTGCCAGTGCCCTTTAACAGATCACAAAAAGGGCAAATCACTTGTTTGGCAGGGTCCGCTATAAAGATGATGACAAAGTAAACATATCAATTTGCAGGGGATTTTTTGGCGACATTTATTTCTCTTTGTCCTAACTGGACTTCTATTTTGCCGCTACCATATTTATTTTTATTATATCATTATTTATTATTTCTATCGAACTTATTTACCAGATTATCTGTTTACAGGAAAAATCCGACGTATCTGCAGTTCTTCCATCTGCCAAGCCCAGCGCATCCCTTCACGCGTTCCACCAATACTGAATAACCCTCCCTAGGTGAAATCCCGGTCTCGGCGTGGAAACTCCCTTTACGGTACCCTTCCACGGTACTCCGATGCTGACCCTCTTTGTTGTGATTACTCTGGAGCACTCGCGCCTTGTTCCTTGTAACCAGATTGTCGAGGGAATCCTCCTTTAGGAGACGAGAAAATTCATGCATACATCGACTCGCAAATCCGTGTGATGCGGGAA